TCAAGGGCGTGGGATGAGGCTAGTACGTAGATGGAGGTGGGGCTTGCGGTGGGAGGAAGGACAGGTTAGGGAGGTGGGCCGAGCTGGCCTGGTTTTGGGATGTGGTAGGGGGAGGGGAGATTTTGAAGCTTGTGAAGTCCACATTGATACCATTGGGCTGCAGGGTTCCCAAGCAAAATGAAGTGCTGTTCCTGTTACCCCTGTACATAGCCTTCTTTGACCTTTACAATCAACACTGTCAATTGGGAAGCATTATGGAGTGTCCTTCTCCACTTTGGTTGCACCATGGAGTTTGTCACTATCCTTCACCTGCTCCATGACAACATGGATGTCATGGTAATGACGAATGGCTCTATCACAGAACTATTCCCTGTTCAGACCGGTGTCAAGCAGGGCTGCCTCATTGCCCAACACTGTCCTCGACCTACCTCACTGCTGACAAGCTCCCCAGTGCAATGCAACTAAATTGCAGAACCTATGGGAAAATGAACCTCTGCCACCTTCAAGCCAAAACCAAAATCACCCTAACCCAGTGTCATTGAGCTGCAGTATGCAGATGCTTGTATATGTGCAATCAGAGGATGTACTCTAGACCATTGTCCACACCTTTTGTGGAGGCATATGAGCACATTGATCTCTCCCTAGACATCAGAGGACAAAGGTCCTCTATCAAGTTGCTTGGCATTATGGAGCCAACTACCAATCGTCAAGGTCCATGGAGGCCTTGGAATGCTGACCACTTCCAATGCCTCAGGAGTTCCTGTCAGCCAAAGCAGCTATTGATGAAGAGATCCAGTGTCACCTCCTGTGTTAGTGTAGCCTTTGGCCATCTGAGGAAAAGGGTGTTTGAGAACGATATCAGATCCAACACCAAAATCCTGGTTTACAGAGCTGTGATGGCTCCCACCCTCTTAATTGGTTCAGATGTGTCTGCTGTAGACAGTCCACATTAAGGCACTGGAGCAGTACCACCTGTGCAGCCCACACAAGAGCCTGCAAATCAGCTGGAAAGATGCATCAGTGCCAGTGTCCTAGCCCAAGCCAACATCCCCAGCATCAAGGCACTGGCCACCCTTGATTGGCTACAATGGACTAGGCACATCATCTGTGTGACCAACACAAGATTGTCCAAGCTGGTGCTCTACTCCCAACTGCAAAACGGCAGGCAAGCCCCAGGTGGACAAGAAGTGCTAAGGCTTCACTGGCAAAGTGCAGCATTCCTACAGACACCTGGGAATCACTGGCGCAAGACTGTCCAAAGTGGAAGAGGAGCATTTCAGGAAAGCATTGAGCACCTCCAAGACTTGCCATTTGAGGGGATTAAAAATGGAAGCCAGGCAAAAACAGTGGCTCTGGTTGGCACTGCTGCCTCAGTGCCAGGAACTCTGATTTGATTCCACCCTGGGGGGATGATCTATATAGAGTTTGCATGTTCTTCCTGTGTCTGCATGGGTTTCTATTGGGTGCTGCAGTTTCCTCCCACAGTCCAAAGATGTGCAAGTTAGGTGGATTGGCCATGCTAAATTACCCATAGCGTTCAGGGATGTGTAGGCTAGGTGCATCATCCATCATAGAATCCCTACAGTGTGGAAATAGGCCCTTTGGCCCAACAAGTCCACACTGACCCTTGAGCATCCCACCCAGACCTGTTTGTTTCTCTCTTTTTCCGCCGCTCCCATAACCCACCTAATATACATACCTGTGGACCCCATGGGCAATTTAGCATGGCCAATCCACCTAGCCTGCACATCTTTGGACTATGGGAGGAAATCCATGCAAACACTAGGAGAATGTTCAAACTCCACACAGACAGTCACCTGAGAGTAGAATTGAACCCACAACACTGGTGCTGTGAGGCAGTAGTGCTAACCACTGAGCCACTATGCCACTCATAAATTTAGCCTTGGGAAATGCAGGGTTATATGGATAGGGTAGAGGAATGGGCCCGGGTGGAATGCTGTTTGGTGGGTCGGTGTGGATTTGGGCTGAATGGCCTGTTTCCACACTAGGGATTCTATGATAACAGTGAAAGGATCATACACCCCTGCCCATGACAACTCCATGCCCCAAGTGTAACAGAACCTGTGGAAGCTGCATCAGTCTGTCCAGCCATGTATAGTCTTGCCCTGATTGGAAGAGAGTCAGTCATTCTCACCTGTGAGGGATTGCTGCTGCTGATGATGATAATGCTGGTTTTGGAATTTTATTGGGCACATGCAGGTTATTAGTAGAAAAAATTTTTAAAATAATATTAAAACATTATTAGTAAAATTATTTGTTATGTCTGAAGGTTGATGGAACTCTATAGCTATTTTATCTGGCAAAATATTAAGTGTCACATGTAAAGTAAGATATTACATTATAGAATTTTACAATTCAGAAGGAAGCTGTTCAACTGGTCATGCCTGTGCTGGCTCCCACTCTTCAGCCGTGTGTCAGTAGTCCTCTAACATCATCACTTTCAAATGTACATCCAGCTCTTTTTGAAACCACCTATGGAATCTGCCTCCAACAATGTCCCAGGCAGCACATTCCAAATCTTATTAACTCTGAACAAAAAAAAAGTTTCTTCTCATCTCAACTCCTGGCTGTCTTGCTGACAATCTTGAGTTGTAACTCCTTGTCACTAACGTACTAACTAGTGGAATTGCTCATAATTTTGAATACTTCATTAAGCTCCCCTCTTAATCTTCTGTGCTCCAAGGAGAACAAGCCTAATCTCTCAAACTTTTTCCTTGCCTCTAAAATTCTTCATTTCTGGTATCATTCTAGTAAATTACCTTGGAATTCTCTCCAGGGCTTTAACATCTTTTTAAATAAGGTGCCCAGAACTGAATACATTACTCCAAATATGGTCTGACGAATGGTGTTTTTTTTTTTTTTTTGAGGTGTAGCATCATTTCCTTGCTTTATACTCTCTGCCTCTATTTATAACACTATAACTAGGATTTTATAAGCCTTAACTATTTCAAATTATGTGGTCACCTTCAGGGAATCAGGTATGTTAACACCAAGGTCCATCTGCTCCTGTACTGCCCTCCTAGTTGTACCACTAAACCTGTATTGTCTCTCTGTTTCTTCTTCCAAAAATGCATTACTTCACATTCCTCAGCATTGAATTTTATCTGCCCATTTGGCCAACTTTTCAGTGTCGTACTGAAGTCACTCAACATCATCGTCGCAATTCACTACTCTCCCGAGTTGAGTACTGTCTGCAAATCTAGAGATTTAGCTCTCAACACCCTGCTCCAAATCATTTATACAAATCAGAAAAAGCAAGGATTCTCAACATCGATCCATGGGGAGCACTACTTTCAACTTGTTTCCAATCTGAGAAATGCCTATCAATATCTATCCTTTTAGCTACCTTCTAATCTGTGCTGCTAAGGACCCATCAGTCCCAAACACTTCTAATTTGCAAACCAATCTGCCGTGTGGCACCATTTCAAATGCTTTCTGAAAGTCCACATATACAACATCCACAACACTGTCTTCATCTACTGCCTGTGTCACCTTTGTCAAAGAACTTTTTAAAATTTGTCAGACATAATCTGCCTTTGATTTAAAGCCATATTGACTATGTAGTATTTTAAATTATTTTTCTCAATGTATATTTACCTCATCCTGTGTTATGGCCTCCATCAGTTTTCCCACTACTGAGGGGAAAGATTTAAAAATGACCTGAAGGGTAACTTTTCCTCTGGCAGCTCATTGCATACACACATTGTGTGAAAGTGGTGGAGGTGGGTACAATTACAACACTTAAAAGGCATCTGGATGGGTATATGAATAGGAAGGGTTTAGAGGGATATTGGCCAAATGCAGGCAAATAGGACCAGCTCAGATTGTGACATCGGTATAAACGAGTTGGACTGAGTGGTTGGTTTCCATGCTGTATGACTCTAAGATGTCAAGCTGACAGATCTGTAATTTCTTGGGTTATCCTTCATCCCTTTTCTTAAACAACAGTGTCACATTTGCAATCTTCCAGTCCCCCGGGACTACTACTGTGTTCAGAGAGGCCTGGAAAATTTCTGTTAATGGCCATGCTATTTGCTCCCTTCGACTCTCCACAATTTAGGATGCAAACCCATTTGGGCCTGGTGACTTCTCAACCAGGAATGCTGCCAGCCTTTTAGCACCTCTTCTTTACCTATCACTATACTGTTCAGTTGTTCAACACCCATGTTTTCAACTAGGCCACTGTCACCATCTTTTTGATTTGGTAAAGAAAGAAGTAAAATGTTCATTTCGTCCCTCTGCCTTATCCGTTATCAGTGAGCAGCTTTTGTCACTTGTTCCTTTATAGGTCCCCCTCTATCCTTCGTTAGTGTTGTTGTTGTTATTAATAATGATGATATTAATATGTTTGAAGAACCTTTTTGCTATTTTATTTAGCACACCTTGCCATCCTTTCCTCATGCTCCTCTTAGCCTTCCTTATTGTAGCCTTAGCCTTTTTCTTGCATTTGGGATACTCTTCCTAATTTCAGTTTTCCTCCTTATTTTCTCATCAATATCCTTAGTCATCCAGGATACTCTGGCTTTGGATACCCATGTTCATTTGTCAAGGGTATGTACTTAGCTTGCACCCTATTCATCTCCCTTTTGAAATTCTCCTAGTTTTCAGCCACTGCTTTATCCATCAAAATGTGTCCAATCGATGTGCTCCAGTTCAACTTCTAGACCCCAAAAATCTGCCCAGACTGGAATCTTAATCATTGACGTATTGTATTGTATTGTATTGGTTATCTTCCACATTTTTTAATTTTGTTTTTTGAACTTCATGTTGAGAGTGCTGTTTGCCAAATGCCCCCAGCCCCCGCCAACTCTGATTAATCTCCTCTTAGCCTGTCTCATTTCCAGATCCAGATCCAGCACAACCCCTTCCCTGGTGGCACTGGAAATGTACTGTTCTAGTATCATTCCAAGTAAGTATGTACAGATATGTTCATTATAGGAATTTTTGTTTAACAATACAGATCAAATTTACTCTTACGGTGAAAAAGCAAAGTTCAAGGTTTATTCACCACTGTGTAATGTTCACTTTCCAAATGGTATTGTTTTATTAGGGGGGCTCCAGGGAGGTGGTGACTCACTATGTTGTAAGATTCTTCTGATTTTCCTTTGCTTCTTATCATGCCTTTGCTGCTTTTCTTTTTGTTCCTGTTTGCAAAAAACAATGTCACATTGATAAATTAGTAATTGTTACATTGTATTAAGATGGAAAATACATAAATTGTGTGATTGTGAACACATTCTACATACTAATGGAAAATTAGTTGAACGCAAAAGCTGATGTTTAAGGGGCTGACTCAGTTCTTGCTGGTATAAATTAATGCAGGTATAAATAATGCTTTTGTTTACATACAAAGTAAGCAGTCTAATGCCTGTTTTAGTGCTTTGTCAGTATGTACTTTGGGTGGGGAATTTGGCACACAGGAGGTGTTAAGTTGGTCTTTTACAATGCAAGAATCTCTGAGGGAAAGAGAAGAACAGGTTGTAACAGCTGAAGTCAGGAGCACTATTTTTAAATAGAAAGACAGCAGATTACTTGGTGAGTTTTAATGGTTTTTCTTCTCTAAATTTGAGTCATTTTAACTATAACCAGGAATGTGTAAATGTGGGCTTAACTAGTTAAACTATTTGATCTGGATATAAACAAACATTGAAAAAAGACTTATTTTATGTAATGAATTAAAGGTTCATCCAAGGAATGACCGAGTAGTGTCTCGGAAATGCAGCAGGTGGGAGTTTGTGGATGGGGAATTGTAAAATGTCTATAGCTTATGTCTCTATTTGAAATCACTTAAACTCAGATTAATGTGAGTTGGAAATGCTGGATTACACAAGGGAGTGGGAATAATTTCCAGCTTTATCCAAATAATAGTCAGGCCTTAAGAGAAATCACAGTTTTGGGAAAGGTTATTTATGATTGATTGAGAGCTGGCTAGTGGGTATTTAGGAGAGTTAAGAAGGAAGTCTAGGAGACCCTGGTCCTGTCTAATAGACATGATGTACTTGTGATCTCCAAGAATAAGGAGGAAGACTGCAGCGAGGGCAGCTAAATTGCTGAACAAAGCACCATGGCTCGGAAGGCTGTTTAGGAGGGGAAAAACTTTTATTAGAAAATTGGTAGTTATGGGAGAGCCTTTGGAGAACTCTCTTCACTGAAGCTGGTTCAAAATCCTCCCTTCGTAATAACACTGTTAGGTGCGTCATATGGACCATAGCAGTTCAAGATGGTGTGCTGGTAATAAGGGATGGACAATAACTGCTAGCCAGTGATGCCCACGTCTCAAACAAATAACTGCTTTCACTTTTAGATTTTGATAAAAGTATCATAAAGTCATGTAGTGGAAGCAACTGCATCAATGTAACATAATCCAATAATATTGGATTAAAAAATAGCACTTTTAGCTGATGGAAAGAATATACAGAGAATTATTCTCTGATGGAGGGGACAAAAAAAAGAAGATAATTAAAGTTGCCTCCACTCATGAAAACAGAAGAGAAGAAAAGAAAATCAAGCTATCAAAATATCAAAGGGTAGAAGTATAGAACTAAATACATATGTGGAAATGGTACTGGCATTGGAAGATTTCAGATGAAATTATGACATCATTCTGGAACAATTTGCAAAACTCTGACAGGCTTAATTCCAGAAGATCTCTGAAGTCTGTATTTATAGCTTGAGCAAAAAGATAAGTTGAAACAGTGTGAACGTGATAGAGCTATATAATCAAAATCATTCCAAGAATCATCATAACCGCACAAAGCAAACTTAGGCCAGAGATATTGAAAGAACATTTATGGGTTTATTCAAGGAAAAGGAACAAAAAAACCTTATCCATGAGAAGAGCTTGAAGATAGACAGCAATAGAACATAGAACAGTACAGCACAAGAACAGGCACTTTGGCCTACCTTGACTGTGCCAACCATGATGTCATTCTAAACTAATCCCATTTGCCTGCACATGGTCCAGATCCCTCAATTCTCTGCCAGTTCATGTCTGCCTAAGTACATCTTAAATGTTGCTGTCATATCTGCTTCTACCACCTCCCTTAGCAGTGCGTTCAGGTACTGACCATCCTGTGAAGTCCAAAGAAGAGGTACACATATGCTTTATAGAATAATCTTTATAGATTTGACAGAGTGAGGCAGACAAGACATTTAAAATGCCACATAACATAAATAGAGAAAATATAACAGAATCATTCCCACAAATTCAGTCAATAGAGTACTTAACTGGGGAACCAAGTTTGATTTCTTTTATTGTCATGTGTACCGAAGGACAGTAAAAAGCTATGGTTGCGAGCGGTACAGGCAAATCATAGTAAGTAAGGACATACAGATCACAGGGTAAGAAGAAACTTTGACAGAGTGAGGCATAGAGGTTACACCACATAGGACGTGCGCTAGACAAAATCAACATTATTTGAAGTCAGACAGCCCATTCATCAGTCTAATAATGGCCGAGAAGAAGCTATTCTTGAATGAGCTGGTGCATGTGTTCAAGCTACTGTATCCTCTGCCTAACAAAAGAGATTGTAGGAGAGCATTACTGGGGTGGGATGGCTCTTTGATATTGGCACCCTTTCCGCATAAACAAAACGTGTAAATGGAGCCCATGGATGGGAGATTGGCTTCCATGATGGACTGGGTTGTGCATACAACCTTCTGTAGTTTCTTATGGTCCTAGGCAGAGCAGTTGTTGTACCAGGCTGTTATGCACCCGGACAGTATGCTTTCTGTGGTGCATCTGGTAAAAGTTGGTGCGGGTCCTTATGGACATGCCCAATCTCCTGAGCCGCCTGAGGAAGAAGTGTTGTTGTTGTACCTTCTTGACCATTGCATCTATGTGGGAAGTCCAGGACAGGTTACTGGTTATAGTACTCATAAGAACTTGATGCTCTCAACCTCCGCTCCGTTGGTGATGTAGATGGGGGTGTGTTCTCCTCCTTTCTTTTAGAAGTGAATGATCAGTTCTTTAGTTTTTGCCGACATGAGCAAGAAGTTGTTATCATTGCACCATGTCACCAAGCCCTCTATCTTGTTTCTGTATTCTGACTCATCATTCTTTGATATACGTCCTACCACAGTGCTGTTGTGAGCAAACCAAGTTGGAGGAATAAGGATGCAGACAAATTAGGAAATTGAGAATAAAATACAGTAATAAACATAGAGTATTTCAACGACCCTGGTATTAACTATAGATGTAGGTAATGAGGGCATTGGAATAGAATTCCCATGATGTGCATGGATTTCTTTTCTAACTGAATATCTATAGTGAAGATTGTCTATTGGTCTTGGGTAGAGAATCAGATCAGATAAGGGAAACTAGAGTTGGAGGAGAAAGGTTGATAACCTATGCTCAGCCAGAAGTCTGGTGTAACTGATCTATCTGGTCCTGCATTAAATGTCTCAAGCATCACAGGTACCAGTTTTCAGCTCAATCGCTTCAATCTACGTGACATCGAAAAAAGCTAGATGCACTGAATACTGCAAAGGTCCTGACAATATTCCCACAACAGGACTAAGATGTGTTCCCCAACTTGTTGCACCCGCAGCCAAGCTGTTCCAATACAGCTACAACACTGCCATCTATCCAACCACCTGGAAAACCAGGACAAATCTAACCCTGCCAATTATCTTATCAGTCTCCAAAGTGATGGAAAGTACCAGGAACAGTGCTATCAAGCAGCATTTGTTTAGCAATAACCTGTCTAGTTATGCCCAGTTTAGGTCTGCAGGGCCACTTAGCTCCTGACCTCGTTACAGCCTTCAACCACTGAGCTGAATTTCAGAGTTGAGGTGAGAATTTGACATCAAGGCTACGTTTGACCAAGTGTGGCATTGAGGAGCCCTCGCAAGACTGGATTCAATGGGTCTGGGGAAGGAACATTCTCCACTGGCTGGGTGCATTCTTAGCACAAAGGAAGATGGTTGTAGTTGTTAGAGATCAATCAACTTAGTTCCAGGCCATCTCTACAGGAGTTCTGTGGAGTCATGTCTTAGGCCCAATCATCTTCAGCTGCTTCATCAATGACATTCCTTCTATCATAAGGTCAGAAGTGGGAATGTTCACTGATGGTTGCACAATGTTCGACATCATGATTTCTTGGATATGGAAACAGTTCGTGTTCAAATGCAGATAGACCTGGACAATATTAAGGCCTGGGCTGAAAATTAGCAAGTGACATTCGTGCCCACAAATGCCAGACAGTGACAATTTCCAACAAGAGAGAATCTAACCATCATCTTTCAAGATTATCATTTTTAAATCCCCCACTATTAACATCCTGAGGGTTACCATTTATCAGAAGCTGAACTGGACAAACCATAAATACAGTGGCTATAAGAGCAGGTCAGAAGGAAGAATCCTTCAGTAACTTACAAAAGCCTATCCAACGTGTACATGGCACAAGTCAGGAGTGTGATCGAATGCTCCCTATTTGCCTGGGATGAGTGCAATTCCAGCAACAACAAAAAGCTTGACACCGTACTGCACCCACCCTCACCACCCAGTGTGTACCACATACAAGATGCAATGTAGAAATTCAGCAAGACTCCTCAGACAGCACCTTTACAAATCCACAACCACTTCCATCTATGGTAACATGTACATGGGAACACCACCATCTGCAAATTCTAAAGCCACTCACCTTTCCTACTTGGAAAGGTATCACCATTCCTTCAGTGTTGCCAATTCCGAATTCTGGAGCACCCTCCCGAACAGCATTATGGGTCTACCTACTGCAAATGAACTGCAGCAGTGTAAGAAGGCAGCTTGTCAGCACCTTCTCAAAAGCAACTAGGGATGTGCAATAAATGCTGCACCAGTCGGCATTGCCCAGATCCCATGAAAAAATTTAAAGATTGTAAAGTGTTGGAGACATTCAGCAGGTCTGATGGCATCCATGTGGAAAGAAATATGTCTTAGAATCCCTACAGTGTAGAGGCAGGCCATTTGGCCCATCAAATCCACACTGACCCTACAAAGAGCATCCCCCATAGTCCTTGTAACTCTGCATGCCCCTAGGCTGTAGGAGGAAACCTATACAGACCCAGGGAGAATGTCCAAACTCCACACAGTCACCTGAGGCTAGAATTGAACCTGGGTCCCGCGTGCTGTGAGGCTGCAGTGCCAACCACTGACCCACCA